GATTGTTGGGTAAATACATATCAGCAATTCCACTTGACAAAAGCTGATGGATGTCCTCCCTGAGTCAGGCTAGGCTCTGAGTGGGGATGGGAAACTGTGAGAAAGGGAGAAACTGATACAGCACAGTACCAACCAGTTCCCCTCTAACACACCGTGCTCTGACCCCAGACATGGGTGTACAAGAGCAGCCACCAGAGTGGTGACTGACTGTCCTCACTGCTGGCAATTGACAAAGGGTCTCAATTTAACCCGTGGACAAAATCCTTGACTAGCAAACTCAAATTGTCACTGAATTTAAATCATAAAGGATCTAAGGAAATTCTTGTTTTATTTATGTGTATATATGGACTCCTTACACGATTAACATTTATTTTCTCCTAAGGGTTTGTTCTATAAACTGGAGTGGCCTAAGAAAAGCATTGTATAATTCTGATTTTATTTTACGCTTTCAAAAGAGAAAGGAGGGAATGGAGAGAAAAGTGTCACAAATTCTTCAGCTCTGGGGCTCAGCACGTACAACAGACTCCTCGGACAAAAGGTTCATCCAGACTGTTGGGTAGTTTCAATGCTGAGAGAAGACTAGGGGAGCCCACCCGAACCCCACAGGAAGAATTCTACAGTTCCTCTATCACGGTGCTCTAGCTAAGCATAGGTTTCAAACTACAGAGAGTTTCAACTTAACATCTAAAATTTTAACTTGTAGCCTGTCAGCAACAAATAAGCACAGAGAGCTCATCTCAGAAGTAAAATTAAAGAACTATTGTTCTGATGTATGAAAGTCAAGCCATCGCTCCCAGCTATGCCACACTTCCAGGCTTAGGCAGACACATAAGGTGGTGGCGGCTCCTTGGCGGCGCCATTCACAGTGGCATCATCGTACAGGGGTAACAGCACTGTAGTGTCATTGCTGGTAACATAAACCAGGACAGCGGAAGAGTTCCTGCCATTGATGTATCAGTAGCAGTTCCAAACACAGCTAATCAAGTAACCCTTAAAAGTCAAGATGATGCTGATAAACAGAAGAATAATAAGGACCAAACAGGTAGGATTCACTGACATGATATCATCTTTGTAAGGAAAATCAGGAGGCAGCTGTCGTATGTATTCCTGGATGGAGTTTGGATAAACAAGCACAGTGACTGCAACCAAGGTGTTCAGGGCAAAATCAAAGATCTGGTAACAGAAAAATGGGATGATCCAAGCTGCGTGTTGCTTGTATGCTCCATAAGTAGCCATTGCACAGATCAGGATCATGAGAAGAGAAATTGCGGTAGCAATGCACATGTTGGCATCATCCATGAGCCCCAAGTCACCTCCGAGTTCAGAACTTGAAAAGCGATACTGATCTGGATCAGCCAGGGCGGGCGCTCAATAGAATCAGCAGTGCCTATCTCTAGGCTTCTTTTACTTGCTTTTTTTTTTTTTTTTTTTTTTTTTTTTGCAGTACGCAGGCCTCTCACTGTTGTGGCCTCTCCCGTTGCGGAGCACAGGCTCCAGACGCGCAGGCTCAGCGGCCATGGCTCACGGGCCCAGCCGCTCCGCGGCACATGGGATCTTCCCAGACCGGGGCACGAACCCGTGTCCCCTGCATCGGCAGGCGGACTCTCAACCACTGCGCCACCAGGGAAGCCCCTTTTACTTGCTTTTTACCACATCATTCATTGTTATCCTTAGGCCTGAACTTCCTCACACTCTTGCCAAAGGAGTGGGTTCCTGCAGAGATTCGGAGCTCTCTGTCTTACCTTCCCTTGTGCAAAATATCTGAGCCAATGCTCTGGATCAGGGGGTGGGGACAATGGTGTGTTTCTCTTCAGCGCCTGGGCACTCAGTGAAGGGGGTGCAGCTGTCACCTCTGGTCTTCTTGACTTGCCTCTTCTGCTATGAGACCTCTGCTTTACAAATAAGCCAGTACAAGGATGACCTGGACCGCAGTGTTCTCAGTGTACCAGACCCAAAGGAGAGCATCCATCCCATAAATGGTGGCTGGACAGAGCAGGGGGGGCCCCCACTCTTGACTGCATTTGCTCAGAATTTGGTCTCTGCAGCAGGTAATTGGGGGCGGGATGAGAAACACTGAAATCCTGCTTCTTCTGGGAAGATTCCGTGGCTCTCCAGCTGGGAGCTGGGAGGAGAGGGAGCTGTGTGTTTATGGTTGAACCATGTGGAGTGAAGTTTTCATTGTGCTCAGCTGAGAGAGGGGAGGAGGGGGTGGGTCATGGTTCAAACACCACAGACTCTTGCTGTTCTGAGTTTTAGCACAGTTTCTTCTTCAAATGTTTCTGTATTTGCTCTATGTCCCTAGAACCATTTCCAGACACTTTATTTTTTTATTATTTTTTTATTTTTTGCAGGCCTCTCACTGTTGTAGCCTCTCCCATTGCGGAGCACAGGCTCCGGACGCGCAGGCCCAGTGGCTGTGGCTCACGGGCCCAGCCGCTCCGCGGCATGTGGGATCCTCCCAGACCGGGGCACGAACCCGTGTCCCCTGCATCGGCAGGCGGACTCTCAACCACTGCACCACCAGGGAAGCCCCAGACACTTTAAATGTTTGTTTATTTTATAGTTCCACGGGGATGAGGTCCCCTGAGTTCCTTGGGCTGTGGAGCTGGGAGTCAGTCATTCCCAGCTCTTCTCTTGCCTCGTGGATTTCCCAACTGGGAGTTGGGACCCAGTCCACTGTCTTCCAGGCATGAGTGTCCTGGTCGATCGTCTGCAGAGATGACTAGAATGACCCCTCCCACCCCTGTATGCTGTTTCCCTTCCTTTGGAATCTAGACTGGCCTTGCGAGTTGCTTTGATCAGCAGAAGTGGCAGAAGAGACACCACGACAGTTCCGGGCCTGGACCTAGGAGGGCTGGGAGCTTGCACTTACTCCCCAGGAAGTGAGTGCCGTGTAAAGAGGTCAGGACAGATCACTGAATGAGGACAGATGCCTCAGGGCCCAGCCAATAGCCACCTCAAAGACTGCTGACGTTTGAGCGGGTGCAGGCGGCAGTCACGGGAAGAGAGAGGCCAGGCGACTCCCAGCTCTGCGCCATCTTAGACGAGGCCTCAGCTACAGGGATGAGACCATCTCGGACCCCCAGCCTCAGCTGATGGCTCGGCTGATACCATGTGGGGCAGAGATGAGCTGTCCCTGCTGGGCACTGACCACACTCCGGACCCACAGAAGTGTGAGACCTCAGGTGGTTGACGTTTTAAACCATCAAGTTCTGGGGCGCTTTGCTTGGCACCAGCAGAAAATAGACATGGGACCTCAGTTCCCTATAGCAGAAGGCAGCCCCTGGAACCCCCTCTTTCATCCCGAGCTGGGAGGGAGCAGACCTCACCCCCCAAAAGAGGACTTACGGTCTTGCCAGGATCTTTTCCAAAAGACCCCCTCACCCCTCCCAGCCTTTCCATAAAGCCCTCCCTGGAGGCTTTTTTGAGTGTTGACATTTGATCTTGGAATCACACATCTGTTGTAGATTCTCAGTCAGATTGTCGTGTTTAGCATACTCCTGCCTGCGTATTTATTTACCTGTATTTTCTCTGGGTCCACCTGTGAACTCCTCAAGGGCAAGAACTTTGTTCACTGCTGTATCCCCAGCCCTCAGACAGTGCATGGCACACAGGAGGTGCTCAGTGACTGTTTGTGGGATGAATGTGCCTACTTTGTGCCAAACCCTGTGCTGGGCTCAGTGCTCCCTCTGGTGTTATGTCAGCTACTGGCAGCCGACTCGCGTGATGCCCAGACCCCTCTGCCCTCCTGATTCCAGCACAGCGTGGTGGTTAGTTGTGCACATCTTTGCTCGCGTCCCTCGTCAAACGTGCCACAGCATCTCTTTGCTTTGCTGCCTCAGAGCAGAAGACTGCCGGTCCACAGGCAGGTGCAGTTCAGAAGTGCTGGAGCTCACACACGGGGCCGGGGGTGGAGAGTGAATGCCTCGGTCCCTCTGTCCAGTGCACAGACCTGGGGTGTGTTCTGCCTGGTTCCTCTTAGGCCCCAGCAGGACGGAGCCCCACTGCCCACGGCGTTGACCAGCTTTTAACAGATTCTTAATTGACTTCCCTTCCTGCCCTGTCCTGCTGTTTCTGCTCCATCATTCGTGCTTCCCAGGGTCACCTTCAAAAGAAACTACCTGTCCTAAATATTCGTCTCAGGCTCTGCTGTCAGGGGAACCCAAACTAAGACACTGAGGTTCTCTTATTTGGTGTCACAATAACGTACGAGGTAAAAGGTATTAGTCCCATTTTATAGGTAAGGAAAGTAAAGGCTGAATAAGATTTAGATGTCTGGATGACCTTGCAAAAGCCACCCAGTTGCTCTCAGCTTTAGTGTCCTCACTGGTAAAATGATGAGGTGGGATCCGATGCAGGTTTTCATACTCAAGTGGCCACAGAGCAGAGCCAGGAAGTAAAAGCAGGCAGCCAGGCCTGCAAGGGCTGTGGCCGGCTGGAGCGCCCTGCCCCATCCAAAGCGGGCAGCCACCGCTCGGGCCCAGGCAGCCAGGCTCGGCAGAAGGGCAGGCCCAGTGCTGCTGTATCGCCCACCTGTGCACGAGAAACCAGACTCATGTGAAATCTCTCAAGCCTTAAATGGTGGCAATAAATTCGAATTATTTTAAACCCTGTGCAGACTGAAAGGGGCACAGGAAGCTTTCTGGAGTGATGGGAATGTTCTCCATACCGATGGGATGCATACACTTGCCAAAACTCAAAATAGGGGCACTTACCTTTAAAATAGGAGCACTTTATTAGTAAGTTGTTTCTCAATATGGTTAATTTTAAAAGAATAAAAGAAAAAGACCCCAGATATGGCAATCAAAATACGTTCCTTTGGAATTCTATAATATTCATGGAACTTATTCTAGTGCATAGTCGAGGTTCAGAAAGCAAAAACCATCACAGAGTTTGGCAAAGAGAAATGAGCTCTCTGAAAATGCATGTTGCATGCTGACACGTTTCCTCCTTCACCTCAGAAGAAGCATCCGTGTGTTTGGGTTTCTCTCCTTCTTTAGGTTACTGGAGAAAACAGGTGGACCATATCTCCGCTCACCTCAGGTCTTACGCTCAGAACAACCCTGAATTCCGGGCCTTGATTGCAGAGCCCAGGATGGGAAAGGTGGGTGGCCTCTGAGCAGGACTTCCTCTCTGGAGCATCCCATGGGATCAGGCTGAGGTTGCCCACATGGACTGTCCTGAAATTACACTTTACTTGCCCTTTCTCTTTTTCCTTTCCCCGCTTTCCATGCTTCCTTGCCTTATTTGACATCCAGGAAAACTGGCTCAGAGAGATTTGGTGACCTGCCCAAGACTACACTCTGGGTCTCAGGGGATTCAGGATTTGAAGCAGGTCTGTCAGACCCTAGGGATACTGCTGTTATAAAGACACACATCTGTGAGAAGACCTTTTCCTCTGTCATGAGACTAAAAGAACCTTTCAAAGTTAGCCCATCCACTCCTCTGCCACCAAGTTAGGCCAACACTGGAACTGTGTCATTGTCAAGTAGTGCTCAATTTCCTTTGATAATCTATTTTGGTGGTTTATTAATTCCTTGGCCTAATCTAGGGGTCTCAAAACTGTGGCCTGTGGGGCAAATCTGGCCTGCCACCAGTTTTGTAAATCAAGTTTTATTGGATCACAGCTACACTCATTCATTTACTTATTGTCTGTAGCTGCTTTTGTACTGCAATGACAAGGACCTATGGCCCACAAAACCTAAATATTTACTATCTGATCCTTAAAGCATTTGCTGAGCCCCATTGATCTAAATTCCTCCCGCTATTTACAGAGACAGCTGCTCATCTGAATACTTGGCCCTTGATTGCCAAGGCCTGGCCCCGCCAGGTCACTTTTTGCCAGGTGATGACTTGCAGCCATGTGGCTTCATTAAAGTGTGTCTCTTATAGAGTATCAGTTTGGGTCTTGCTTTCTTAACCAATCTGGCAGTCTCTGCTCTTTGATTGGAGTATTTAGTTCATTTATAATTAATGGAATTATAGAGAAGCCTGGATTTGTGTCTGCCATTTTGCCATTTGTGTCCTATTTCATCTAGTTTTTGTTTCCCTTTTCCTGCCTGCCTTTGTGTTAATTAAATGTTTGATTAAATGTACAGCTTAGCATCTCAGAATTTCTTGGCTGTGGCTCCGGGCTTTGAGTCCCACACTCATGGTTGTGAATTCTCTCTAATACTTTTTTACAAGCTCATCTCTGCTACCGTCCATGAGGATGGCTATGAAGTTAGCATCAGGCTGAATTATATTCAAGTCTCAAACAAGGTGAGTAAAACCATGGGAAGTTATTCATTTCAAAATTGACTGACCTAGTAAATGGTAGCTTATGATTTATTGAAATGCTCCTGCATAATCCATAGAAAGGAAGAGTTGAGAGTATTATGAAACTTAACTGGAGGCCAGCAATTTCATAGAATTAGATAAATAACTGAGCTAAACCTCAGAGAAGCCAGCTTTCAGGCACATAAAGATGTCATAAGAACAGAAAGAAATCATCACCCACACTATTGGTCCTGTAGTTCTCAGGTTTATTTATACCCACTGAAGTCTGAGTATAGGCGAAAGACCGACAGAAATGTTTGCTGATATGTACTTTGACCTATTTGCCTATAAAAATAAGCCGTACTTTGTGGCCATGTCTCCCTTGATCTTCCCTCTCATTTGGTAACTGGAACATTGACATGGAGCCCATAAGTGTGTGACAAACATTAACTGATACAGGCAGCTTTAGTTTAATTGGACAAGACGTCACAACATATAAAAGGATAATTAATGGATTGAGAAGAGAGTGAAGAAAGCAAGGAAAAGGAGGGGAACTCGGGTCTGGCTGTGACCGCAGGGTGCTAACGATGTCTCTAAAACTGGGACAGGTACCCGGGCCCTGCCTGACCCACAGGGAGGCTGGGAGTGTCCAGTGGGAAGATACATGTGAATGTGCTTTGTAACCAAGGAAAGCACTAAATGCTGTGTTTTCGGTTGTGTGGCTGCAGCAGAGCTTGGGCGGGGAGGTGCTTCAGGAGAATGGGACTGAGGGACTCGGAACACGGCGAGTCACACCACACAGTTGTCCCCACCTGAGGCTGGGGGTAGGGGCATAACCGCTAGGGCAGGTCAGCACCCACCTACTGAGGGCAGCTGGAGACGGGGGTCAGCTGTGAGCTGTTAGCAGCCAACGTGGCAGCTGGGATGGTACCTGACTGGTTAAGGGGAACTGGACAGACACAAGAGCATCTGCAATACGCTGTCCATCGCGTAGAAGTCGGGGGTGTGTCCCAGGTTGTGTGTGTGTTTTTCCTTAGCCTGTGTGTTCTGTGCTCAGGAAGTAGCAGGTGGCTCCCGGCGGCAGGAGCAGGGTGCCACGCTATGGAACCGGCCCAGCTGGACACAGAATCCTGGCTCTGGCCTGTGCATCACCCATCCTCATTTTATAGACATCCATGTAACCTCATTTTGCTTTGACAACATCTCTTTGAGGCTGGTCATAATATTTCCACTTTACGGGTGAGGAAACTGAGGCTCAGAGAAGTTAAGCAACTTGCTTCTTGCAAGGCCCCTAAGCTACTAAGTGACCAAACCAGGATACAGACTCTGCAGCCTGAGCCTCCCCGTCAGGCCACTCTAATCCCAAGACATGGAAGGGTTGTAAGCACAGAGGGACACAGTTACATATACATTCGTTGTATAAAGGGGCTGGGGCAGCCACAGGGAAGGTGGGCTGGCAGGAACCTGTTTGGAGGCTGTTGCAATGATCTCGCTGTGAGAAGAGGGGCCAGAATGAGGAGTTGCGTAAGAGGCAGAATGGACAAAACATCACGGTGAGGTGAGGGAGGTGTCTGGAAGCATGGCGTGACTGGGTAGACAGGGCTGTCATTAACAGAAAGAGGGACAGGTGAGCAGGGAGATCATTCTGCTGGGACGCGGCAGCCTCACCTTTCATGGTGCTGGAATTTTTTCATTGGCCAGAACCTTTACCTGAACAAGGCGGTGAATTTCAGCGACCACTTTCTGAGCAGTGTCACCGAGGGAGGGAACGGGCTGTTCGGCAGCGGGTCCAACCCGGGTGAGTTGTCCCCTTCCAGAGACTTTAAAACAGTTGACCAGTTATATATGGATGTTGTTACAGGAAAGTAAATCCTACACGTTCTCATCACGAGGAAAAATTTTTTTTTCTATTTCTTTCATTTTGTTTCTATATGAGATGACAATGTTCACTAAACTTCTTGTGGTCATCATTTCATGGTGTATGTAAGTCAAATCATTCTGCTGTGCCCCTGAAACTCATACAGTGCTGTATGTCAGTTACATCTCAGTAGACCTGGAAGAAAAAATAATAATTAAAAAAGAGAAACCAAAAGAACCGTTGACCAAAAGCAACACAGTGACTTGGCAAAGGATGGAGAGAACTGCTTAAAATTTGCCGGCCCAGCCAGGCCTCTTACTTTCACGTTCCACCCATGTTATTCCTCTGGCCACCCCAAAGTCAGGCCTGAGACCTTTGCAGTCTTTCTCCCCAGGAACTGGGGAGATAAATTGGGGCAGGGGGTGCTCTTTGGGGCCTGAGAACTGTAGCCCCTTTTATTCCCCTCCCTCCTCCCATCCTCTGGTTCTGGACCAAGAAGGACAGCCCCAGGAGTCCTTCGGGCCAGGTTTCATCAAATAGAAATTTCTATAAAAGCCTTTTCCTCCTTCCGACCTCTTGAGGGGGGCATGGCAGGAGAGTGGCTCTTTACATGATGGGAGTGGCGGGGGCCTTCACTTTGGTGCTCGACTCCTGTCATTCCAGTGAGTGACTACAGCCAGAGCACCCCAGACACCACAGAGAAAGTCACAAGGACCAAGAATTTCAAGACCAAAACGTTTCAAGAGAAGCAGCAGCAGCTTACGGTCTGTGTTCTCCTTGATCCTTAGAGCTGTCTTCTTCAGCCTGTGCATCTAATGTTTTATTTTGAGATTGTTTAAATGGAAGAATACTTTTTCATTTTCTGTTCCCTTTTTTATAGTAGTGTGTTTTTACTTTATGGAGGCAAAACCTTTAAAATCTCTCAAGATTATTCACTGGAATTATTTTAAAGTTCTCCTCAGTCTCCTGAATCACCTGTTTCCTCTGGGGTCAGTTCTATCTGCTCATCTTTCTCTTTCTTGCTTTTGGTTTGTCTCGAACATGTGATGATCCTTGGTTGCTAGGTCATGTTGATAAACGAAGGGCTAGTTTGATTAGCACGGGTGGCCAGCTGGGTCTGTGGGCCTGAGGTCTCTGTGGGTGGAGGGTCCTCGAAGTTGCCAGCGTGGGAAGGCTTTTCCTCTGCTGGTGAGCGTGGTAGTGGGAGTGCCGTGGTGGTTTCCACTCCTTCCTGGCTCTCCAAACCCATGCCATGTTTGGGCTCTGCCCTTTGCCCTTCTCAGGCCCAGTGCTCCCAGGAGAAGCCTCTGTTAGGCAAATTGTGAACTGTATGGAAAATAGTATCAGGGTTTAAGCAGGGAGCAAAAGCTTCCTGCCCTTCTACTCGGGAGAGCGGGGAGGATGCCGGCCATCCCCCTGATTCATGGTAAAACCCTTTAATAACAAGCTGTGGATTCAGCCACACCCAATGCCCGCCCTCCTCCTGGGCTCCCTGGAGAGAACACACTCACCTGTCTGGAGTCTGCAGCTGGTTTTCCTCTTGGCTTTGATTTCCCTGTCAGTCTGATTCCATCTGCTTTCAATCTTTGGGATTCTTCACCATTTCTGATCCATGCATGGTACCCTTTCCCAGTTTCCCTCAGCTGTTAAGAGTTTTGTTTTTCACAATTATGGACCATGAATAGTTTTAACAGGAGCTTTGGAGAGACAGTGGGTGCCCTTGCTCACCCACCACCTTGCCCTCCGGTCGGCCTTCTTTGGCTGTGGCAGCGAGCTGGAGGTGGACACAGGGTCAGTTCCCCTCTCCAGCCCCACCACTTCAGTCACGCGGGGCCCCGGGGCCTCCCGGCATGCACACAGGCACCCAGCCTGGTCGGGGGCAGGGGCGGGGGGGGGGGGG